GAGTTTCTGTGTCAGTGCTTACCTAGTGTTACATTAAATAATATATTTATGTAAATGTCATTATTTTGTAGAGCTGTTTGTAATCACATACTGTAATTGTTACTATCATAGTAATTAATTTTATCAATATGTAATGAGCATAACACGGATGCTGTAATGTAAAGTGTTACTGAAGTCTCGGTTTTAAGTGAGCGTATCATATAATTCAGTTGCATTTACAGACCGGGAGCTGAATACATATTTCCAGTAGGAATCGGCACGTATTCCTTCATTAGTCTCTGGATGATAAGATAACTTCTCTGCTCAGGGCCTTGACGCACATCGTAATTGACTGATTGCTAATTCTATTAAAAACACATTCATTAAAAAGAGGCATTTTGTGACATTAAACATATGCACATGTGATTGCGGAAAAGCGCCGTAATCTCAATCGGGTCCATCGATAAGACTGCTCCCTAACAAGCATCACTTGAGCCATTTTTTTTGTTGTTGAAGATGTTGGTTACAGCAATTACGCATTCTTTTCATTTCCCAAATGATTTGCAAAACTCGTAGAGATTTATACATGCACTCTGTGATAACAGCCCATTCCTTCCCATCCATCATTTGTACATGTGCGCGCACACACACACACACACACACTTGTTTATTTATTACTTAGTCAGGTGCTGTGTGTGACTTTTTATTATAACTAAGCGGCCTGTGACATGTGACGTTGGTGGAACTTGCAGTTTTGCTGCAGGTAGATGAAGGGGGGAGAGAGAGAGATTTCTGAAAGGAAGAACAAGGATGTTGTGTGATCCTCCAGCATCACCTAGTGCTGTGAATCTGCATAACATCTTACAAGGGCATTTTATAAAGCTTAAAAGCAAGATGTTAAAAGCAGGATTTTTGTGCTTTTATTTTTATCATATTATATATCATATTTATTTAAACATTAAATCCATTCACCCTTTTATTTTATTTATATATATTTTTAGAGAAAATGCAGTTTTGTAATATACTTTTATTGAATATAATTCCCAGTTCTCCTATTATTATTATTTTTATTATTATTTTATTTTATTTTTTTATACATTTTTTTTTTTTATATATATAATTATTATTTAGTATTATTCAGAATGTAGCTGAAGATAGAAGCAGGGGTCAGTGATTCAGTAAACTGAGTGAGCATATTATCTCTCTGTGCATAATCAGCATAATTCTTTGTGATTTGTCTATGTTTGTGTTTTGGCTCATGTTAACACTTATCAGTGACTTCTTCCTGCACTGTATTTAGACCTAATTTCAGGGCCTCTAGATGTTATAATTTTATTAGGTGAGTTGTAAGCTTAAATAAGTGATAAGTCATGAGATTTTGTGTATTGTGGAAAGCAGTTCATTCATATGTTTGAATTAATGATTTAGTGGCTGTGTATCTGGACACGTACACACGGGGGCGCCATTCAGCAGCATTTACTAGGCAAATACAGAAATAAACGGATTTGGAGAGGGCAGGAGACTAAGGTGTAACAGTTGCTTTTGGATGAAATGATGCAGTGGTGACTTTTATGCTGCTTCCAGTCTAGAAAATGAGTAACAATACAATGCAAGGCAAAAAAAAAAGATCATTATCATTGTTAATATCATTGTCACCATTGTTTACAGTTGAATTGCCAAAGTCATCATTCTTTTTGTTTTCTGTTTGTTTTGCAGTACAACTATTGTTTCAACACTGAACACAGCGCTGCAGCCTTCACATGGACTCAGTGACTTTAGAGAGTGGAGATTCACCATTAACACTGGTATAAGGAATCAAACAGTGTAGTGAGACTAACTAACTAATCTAACTGAGAATCCAAAGATCAGGGTATATACATACTATATCTTTCTTCTTCCTGGTCTTATTGGGAACCGTTTTCTTTTCAGAAAACTTCCCTCCATCCTTGTGCCATATAAAGACTTTACATGATCAACTCAAATGGATAAAAAGTCCTCTCTTGCATAATCAGGTTCATTTTTAATTTAATTTTTACATTATAAATGTTCTCAGGGAGATGTTCAAGTTGTTGTTTTTTTGTTTTGTTTTTTAGTAAAGATTTTTATTGTTGTGGTCTGCCATAAAATAGCCTATATTTTTTTATTTTATTTTATTATTTTTTTTTTTTTTAAGTTTGATTTTTAAAGTACAGTAACTACACTCAAATTGTACATTAAAGGGAACTGTTATTGAATATCACTTTATTTAGTTTGAGAACAAAAAATAAAAGTTTTTTTTAAAAGCTCTAGAATTATTTTTTTTGCATTTGACATTGTACTTTCAAAAAACTTGACCCTATAACTCTAGCATTCTCTATTCTATTTCTATTCTATCTTTGTTTTTGTTTTTTTGTTCATAATTAAAAAATATGACCCTCTAACACTAGCACTCTCTGTACTGTTTCTATTCTATCTACTTGTTTTCTTTTTATTTATTATAAAACAAATGTCCCTCTAACACTAGCATTTTCTCTTCTCTCTGCTTGTTTTCTTTTTATTTATTATTTATTTTAAAAACACATTCTATGTGTACTGCATTTCTTGTCACAGCACTTAGATAATATTGCTCTTTTGCTGGTTTGATTGCTTCTATTGTCCTTATTTGTAAGTCGCTTTGAATAAAAGTGTCTGCTAAATGTCTGCATGTAAATGTAAATGTACTTTGCAGCAACAACATTTCAAGTGAACCATGGGTTAGGGTTAGGTTTGTTGCCACAAGGGCTTTAATTCTGTAACTATATGTGGGCGATGCTTTTATTATGTTTTACATCATACATTTACATCCCCACCCTCAGAAATGTTCCGTAAAAAGTGTGAAAACTAGCCCCAGTCTTATGATCCTTCATCCTGTTTTCAGTCTGATTTCTAGTAACTATTGGCACAATTTATGCTTTAAAAAAACTTCCCTTGGCACAACATTACAGCCCATCAACCTCCATTGATCCCATAGTGCCTTGCATTTGTGTGAAATTTTACAGAAAATTTAATAAATATATACATAAATAAAAACTTTAGTTAATGACTTTTTGCTCTCACAGATGATTTTCTCTTATTTGTGACCACAGATGCATTTTTTTCTTTTTTTGTTCATGTCATTTTTGCTCTTCTCCCCAGACAAGCTAATAGGGCTTTCTAGAGTGTGTGGGTATCAGAGCCACTAGTGTGTTGATGATTTCAGAAAGGAGACACACAGGTGCTGCACCAGAGCACAGGTTCTATCTCACTGGCCCGTTTAGACATCATGAACGCTGGGACAGGATGATCTCACGGCTGTCCTTCCCATCAACTCACTTCAAACGAATCCCAAGCCGTTTCATGTTGAGGTCAACATGAAACATTATCATATTGCCCGCCCACTTGTTGTGTGTGCATACCCTGGAAAACTTGGTCTGAATGAAAACGCAAATTCATTCTTTGCCACTAGGTGCCGCTTTTGGAGCTGTAAAAATAGCTTCCCTGGTAAGGCTAATCCCCTGGAAATCGACCAATCGGATCAATCACCACAGATTAGCGTCACACAAAGGAGGGGTTTGGAAAAATTAATCGTTGAGCGAATCGTTTGGGAGTCGTTGAGCATGTAAGGTAAAAAAATAAATGCATATTATAAGACAATGAAAGTGTTTTTTGAACTTGCATGCATGTCAACCTGTTGTTGGGGACTCCCAAAACCAAAATATGAACCTTTCATAACCCATAATAGTGGCACTTTAATGTATTTGATCTTGGAAGAATAGATCTGCTACGCTGCTGCAAGTACTGAGACTTGCTACTGCCAATACATCCACATCATGCTGCTGTGAGCATGTAAGAAATACTGCTGCTGCACATATAACACATATGAATAACCCCCATATAGCATACATGAATCACCCTGTAGCAGATCTATACAGGTGGAGCTGGGTAAGGTAGAGGGTTTCTGGAGTGCTCTGAAAACTGCTACCACAAACATTAACTAAATATTTGAATGTTGAGCAGCGAGCTCATTAACTACCGATACAGGAGAGAACCAATCAGCTGTGACGTGATGATGATGTTATTATGTCATACTGAGTTAGAGCTATTGGACAGCGCCATCTAGAGTTTCATGCCAGAACTTTGTATAGATAGATAGATAGATAGTTATTAGTTATCTGAAAGTCCCTTGGGAGTTTGCTGAGGTCCCTAGTGGGCCCCATACTGCTTTTTTTTTTTTTTGTAAATTATTATTATTATTGTTGTTTTACCAAAAACAGTGTAATTTAATGTATCATAACAATTTTCAACCTTCTGTCTGCCTTGCATAATTAAGTAGGCTATATCTGCTACTGTACCTTTAAGAACCTCAAATTTTCTCTGTTATGTTTGACTGGCTATGTGTCAGTGTTTTTCATACTGTTGTAGAGTAATAGTGATGATAAGTAAGTAATGAGTGGTCTTAACTTAATGTATCATAAATATCTCAATGATAGAATAACAAGGTTTTTTTTCTTTTTCTTTTCTTATTCTACACTCTTATTCTACAAAAAAAAGCTGTCGCTGGTACCTATGCTAAAATGCTAAAAGGTACATCTTTGTACCTTATTTACCCCTAAATGATACATAGAAGTAAAATACATATTACATACATATAATTACGTACATATTAAAAGTACATTAATACCTATTGTGTTCTGCCCCAGTGACAGTTTTGTACCATTTTTCTGAGAGTATACTGTAAAATGTTATGCTCTTATTGCAGGAAAATCCAAATTTCCATGATTTGCCCTCTTGTAAGTGATCAGGGGCCCTTCCTGAACCTCTGATCACCTCACCATGGACCCTCACCTCCAAATGGAGCTAAATATTAGGTCTCTCTCAGAACCACAACTCCCACTCACAGCATCACTGCCTCTTCAAACAACCACCTCACATGGTTTTACTTTCAGCCGTGCTATGGCTTTATGATAGGGAAAATAATAATATCCTGAGACCGCACTGTAAAATGAAAATGACTGGCTCTCTCATTGGTCAGAGCCTTTAGTGTGTTTAATCCATGTGTGTTTGAAGGGAATGGTTTGGCATGAAATATGAAGGGAAACTATTCTCAGCTAGTCTATCTATCAAATACTTATAATTAGAAAACAAACTCCTTTTCATGTGTTTCTAGTTGATCAATGAGCAATGCACATTCAGGATGAGAAATTGGTTTCTGTTTCTTGTATTATTCTCTATTTTATAGGAGATGGAGGGAGAAAGAGATGAGAGGTTTGTCAGACCATGACTCGGTGTGCATGAACGGACAGTCCGCTGATATAGTCATCTGCTTCCAATGTAGAGAAGAGCAGAGGGAGCCATCCATCGCTGGGCACGTGGACTCAGCCTTGTTAGTCTCTCTTTTCTTTTCACAGACACTCACACACAAAGTAAGACATACACGAATACATGGAAACTTGTCCATGAGAATAAGCTGGAATCCCGTGATGGGTCTTTCATGCATTCGGATGGACAGAGTCTCTGAGGAGGAACCTACATAATGAAATTTACAGAGTCTATACCTTTGATAAAACCCAGGCTGAACTCCTCATGCACTGCACTAGCACACTGCAATGTGCATTAGACATTCATAGCCCTACACTGAGATGACTGCTCATAGGGTATCACTACTCATAGTACTACTCATAGGGTATCACTAGTTTGTTCGATAACTAGGAAGCATGCAAATTAATGTTTAATGAAAACAATGCGCTGTAAGTCGGTTTACACGAGTCAAACTGTCCAAATAACACTATAAATGAATAGAAGTGTGCAGTTTATACATTTAAAGAGCTCTTTCTAACCCTGCTAACCTGAATAACAATGTGCAGTTACTTTTCAATTGTAATATGTTTAGATTTAGAAGTTTAGCATGTGCAGGATGATAATGCGTCAGCCAATGAATGAAACATTTAGTAATTTAGTTGTCATAGCACAAAATGTAAAGTTATTCAGATTTTTATGTTTAAATTGTATTTTAAATATAAATCAAATATCTATTTTAGATTGTGTTTTGACAGTTTTGATGAATAATTGAATAAGCATTGACAGACAAAGCAGAATCCCAGTAAAAAAAAAGATTAATCTGAAAGGTAAATTTGTTATATGGCACCATTGCATATGAATGCTTTGTATACATAATTTGGCAATATTTTAATTGAAGATATGTCATAATTGCAACACTGTGAATTCAAACTGAATGATTTATCTAAATTAGCGTAGATTTAAAGAATAGCAAAGATGACTGAAATGTAACTCACAGAATTACTGAATAATAAACCCATTAATTACAATATATGAATTCAATATTAAAAGACGAAATTTGGGGGTCTGTAAAATGTTTTAATTTTTAGTATCTTATGCTCACCCAGGCTGCATTAAGATACAAAGACTGAAAACAGTAATATTATGAAATATTACTACGATTTAAATTAACTATTTTCTATTGTAATATTTTAAAATTAAATTTTACTGCTGTGATGATAAAACTAAACATACTTTACAGTCTTAAGTGTCACATGATCTTTCAGAAATCATTCTAATATGCTGACTTGCTGCTCAAGAAACATTTCCTATTATCATCAATCTTAAAAACAGTTGTGCTCCTTAATATTTTTGTGAAAACCTCAATACATTTTTGAAACAGAAATCATTTGTAATAATGTAATAATAATAAGTAACTTTACTATCAATTTTGCTAAATTTAATGTGCCCTTCATAAATTGAAGTTTTAATTTTGCTTAAAAAAACATATTACATTTATACATGTATTTAAGAATAAAAAACATATTTAAAAAACTGAAAAAAATCAAACAAGTTAGGTATATAAGGACTCTGACTGACTGAGCACTTTGTTGCTCAACACAAACATCCATGCACTCTTATTTTGCCAATCACCTCTAACAAGATTTATTATGACAAGCCATAAAGCATGTGCACATTATATATGCTTTTCTGTGTTGATGACATCA